ACAATATATATATATAAATAGACCGATAGCCTAACTCCTTTTGTATCAATCCAATCAAAGCCGAGATCAATAGTAATTTGCGTTCCAAAAACTAAAATTTATTTGTCAAATTTTTGCAAAATCATAGTACCTAACAAATATTTCCTTCTGTAAGCTTTTAGTTGCTTCCAACATCTTGTCTTTCGATTGTTTTTCTTTCTATTAAAAAAAAAACGTTACTAAAAACCATACATAGAATTTATTTTGATTATAGAGTATATCAATATCTCTTCAAAACATGTCCTTAAACTTTTGTTTGATTATGACATTTGAATTTTCATAAGAACTTTTTTTTTTGTAGACTTTCGAATGAAACAATGAAGTTCAAAATCTAAAATTATTCTTCTATCGTTTTTTTTTTTCTTCTCTGTGAAGATTTGTACAAAGTTAATAGATTAGCATTGAAAATAATTTATTTGAATGACAATATATATCGTTAAAATAATTTAATTATTTTTATTATAGAAAGAAAAAGAGATTTATTTGTTTTCAAGAAAACATCAATAAACTTATTATGAATTCAACGTTTTTGATGCAAAACTTTATTTTGATTGAAATATAAAAGAAATTCAATCAAAATTATAATCATATATATATATATATAATATAATTTTCTATTTTTGCAAGACAAATTTTTTATCAAAAACAAAAAAAAAAAAGAATTTATATTATATTAGATGAGAATATATATATTTATATTTTTATATATAATTCTGCATAGAATTATCTTATTATATCACAAACAAGCCTAGTCTAAAAAGAAAAAAAGAAATAGAAGAATATTAAATAAACATTTTATTTAAATTGTCATATCAACATAAAGATCTTCCTCCAAATGAACAAATTGATGATGTATTCGAAGGAGTTCTTTCTCGCTGTTGTTGTTGTTGTTCTATTGATATTGAATCAATTGTACAAATTTTATTTCGACATGATATTATTGATGTTGGTGTTTCTAAATCATCTAATTCAATAAGTTCATCAATTGTAGCTCTTTCAAGTATTGGTTCACGACTTTGTCGTTTACATCGACATCGTTCAACATTAGTACGAAAACCTCGTAAACCAAGTCGACTTAAATATGTTTCTCGTTGACGTTGTACGGTAGTTGTTATTGGTCGATAATCTTTTGGACGATCTTTTTTTATATCAATAGGTACATTTGTACCTGTACCTAATGTTGATACATCAAGTGTACCAAGAAAATGTTTTGTTAAACCATCAAGTATATCAACACAATGCATACGATCATCATCAGATATTGGTAAATCCATAGCAACAAGTAATAATTGATTTGGTTTTGGTATACGTAATGGAGGTTCTAAACCATCAACAAAATCTGATAATTGATCATAACGAATAAATTGTGAACCTGATGGATCTAAATATTGCCATTTTTCATAATACATATCATAATCATCATCTGTTAAACCCTAAAAATTATTTATATTAAATAAATTTGAAAAGAAAATTAATAGTATAAGATAATAGATTGTATAGAATTATATGTAATAGAGATGGACAAAATCGCACCGCGCCACTGCTCGCGCCTAGGCGCTACGCACATCTCTCTTTCTCTTTGCTCTACCAATCAGTTTCTCAAACTCCACTGAATACCAGGATGCTCTAAGCATGCGCTCATCGAAGCTCAGACTAGTGTAGCGTAGGCGTGAGCAACGGCGCGGGAAGGCGCGGTGCGGCTTTGTCCATCTCTGATATGTAACATAATATCTTTCAATTACTATTATATATATGTAGTACTGATAAGTAGTGGCGAAACCAGAATTTTCACGGTGGAGGGGCTTAACTGGTTGAGCTCTAAGCCGGTGGTGGGGCTTAGCCCCACTTGACCACCTTCTGGTTACGCCACTACTGATAAGACAAATACATGCATGAGAATGATTTTCTAACTAAAGTCGTCACGGTGTTTTTTTACAACATAAGCAAAATTTATTATTAAAAACTGCATTTTTTTGTGCGATGCTCAGAAATTTTTAGGGTGTGTTGTAGGAAATGCGATAATCTTTCATTTTATTCAGAGTTTTGTGTTATTTAATTTGATTTTCTGGAAATCTTTCTCTAATAGTCTATCTATGAAACTGTTGGTACGGAATGCATTTGATAGCGAACTTAAATAGTAATTGAAATTACTATTTAGGTTTGAGTTAAATGCTTGGCATCATCGAAAAAAAATTAAACATATGTCAGCGTATTGTTTTTTATCAGTACGGTAAAGGAGCTATCAATTATTAGTTATCGCTATTTGGAATTTAATGAAATAACTTTTATTCATTCATGCTTCACTCATATAATTTTGCTCATCGGTATTTCGACCTTGAAAGCAAGTCACAACTTTTTTTATTGAGGGTGTCCGTGTGGATGACAAGCGACGAATCACAAAATGTTTGATTTTTTTGAAAAATCTCATAAATTCAACTTAGCATACTATCGTTCGATTTTACCTTCTGTTCTCTAATGATATGTTAAAAATATAGTAAAATGATTTGAATTTTACTTCAAAATTGACTTATTACACTTTATAAGATTCGCTTGTCACTATATACAAAAATTTATCAAATCATTCATTTATTTACTTGTTGTACATCTTCTTGTGCTTGAGAAAAATTTTCTAAAATAACTGCAATATACATATTAACCTAAAAAAAAAAAGAGAGAATACTAATAGAATAAAAATATTTTTAAAAAATTTCTTACCACAACAAGTGAACTTATAATTAAATAACTAACAAGAAATGGTATTGCAATAGCTGTAGTACCACAATCACCTCTATGTGATGGTAATTTAAGAGTTGGATCACAATCTGGTGGTCGATCATTTGTTAATGCTTGTAAAACACCTGACCAACCAGCTGTTGTACACATTTGAAAAAGTATAATTAATGAATTTGGAAATGTTTCAAAATTAAATATTTCAGTTACACCAGCTGCTTTTCGTACATATGAAAAAAATGACATACCAAATATTGAATAAATAAACATGACAAGAAAAAGAAGAAGACCAATATTAAATAAAGCTGGCATTGAAACAGCTAATGCAAAAAGTAATGTTCGAATACCTTTTGCTCCTAGATATCAAATAAAAAAAAAATAATTATATTTTAAGAATCATCATATTCTATATTAAAGAACAAAATAAAAAAAGAAATAATTAAACCTTTAACAAGACGTAAAACTCGTCCAACACGTGCAACACGTACAACACGTAATAATGTTGGATTAACAAAATAACTTGCCATAATTTCACCTAATACTTGTCCTAGAAAAAAAAAGGAAATTTTATTTTCTTCAATCGTTTACAAAAAAACAAAAGTGATAAATAAATAATAAACATTAGCAGCTTAGTTTTCCTATAATAAACATTAGAAGAAGAAGAAGAAGAAGAAAAAAAAATAACAAAGATATTGAAAAGCAAGAGGTGCACATTAAAATAGCGTGAAACATAAAATGAATGCTTCAGCAAAGAATCAAACCTTTTTCCATAGATGTTACTAAATAGGGACTCTAGTTGGTTATTTTTGTTGTTTTATAACAAGAAACATGGAAAAAAACCAAAAAACAAAAAAAAAGAATTTTATTACCAAGAATCGATGCAATGACAATAATAAAATCGAATACATTCCATGGTATAGTAAAATATTTATAATGTAATGCAATTAATTTCATACCACATTCAATTGTAAATCTATATATGAAATATATATATATATATCGAATATTATTGAAATTATCTTACATAGCAACAAAAAAATTATTTATATATGAAAGAATACGTTCATATGCATAACTTTGATTATGATGTTCAAGACACATACAAAGCATATTAAGAAAAATACACATCATAATAAATATATCAAATTTTTGATTTGTTGTTAAATCAAAAAAAAATCTTGCTATTGGAAACTATAATAAAGAAATGAATTGATTAATCATAATTTTTTTTTTTCAAATAATTACTCGTGGTCTTGGTAATGCTTTTGTTGGTTTTTTATTACCCATTTTTTTCATAGCATTATAATATTTTTTTTGATCATCAGTCATAAACATTTCTATTGAACCACCACTTCCTAACTATAAAACGAAAACAAAAAAAAAGAAATATTATTATTAAATCAAATTTTTACAAATCAACTGAAAAAATTGTTAGTGCAATTTCTATGGAATTAAAGCATGAAACACGAAGCTCACGAGGAAATCTCTTCAAGTGTTAATCGCCGATCGAGCTCATATTTTGCCTGTAAGTAAGACTAGCAGAAACTCGGAAAGATTCATCCCCATATGCTGTTCTTCCGGCGTTACGATCGTTTTACTGGTTGTTCGAACTCTCGCAATGGTACTTATAGGGAAGGTCAACAATGGAATTTTGTTCATAAACATGTCTCATGGTCATTAGAATGTCCTAAAAATTTCAGCTAAAATGAATGTTTCTTTCTCAAGATATTGAATATTCAAGGAACGATCATATTTCAAAGGCAAAAGATCAAAAAGTCGAGCTTTTTGGAAACTCAATATCTCGAGAAAGAAATGTTCCTTTTAGCTGAAATTTTTAGGATATTCTAATGACCATGAGATCTGTTTATGGACAAAATTCCATTGTTGGGCTTCCCTATAAGTACCATTGCAAGAGGCTGAAAAACTAGTAAAATGATCGTAACTCCCCGGAAGGACAGTGTATGGGGACGAATCTTTTCGGGCTTCTGCTAGTCTTATTTATGGACGATTAACATTAGGAGAGGTTCCCTCATCAGTCCTCCAGATGTATAAGTTGCTGAGGTATGATTCGAGACAAATCATCATTAGTAATTTGTCCGGAGAAATTTCACGACCGATCTACCGAATCTTGAGCACAGTAGTGTGAGGACACATACCCCGTAACTTCTACAGTCTGTAAAGGGAGAGCGTGCAAATTTCTATCCCATATAGTTCAATACTGTGTTTTGTTTTTTGAGATCATGTTTTACAAAACTTAATTTTACTTTTCGTTTTTGTTGATTAAAATTATCGATAACAACACCGATAAATAGATTTAATGTAAAAAATGAACCAAATATAATGAATAAAACAAAGTAAACAAGAAAATAAACATTCGATTCACGTTCCGGTTGGACATCAATCTGAAAAATAATATGTTGTTAGAAAAAAAAAATAAATAAACTATTGCAAAAACAAAAACATTAGTATACTTCTTTTGCATCAGTTGCATCAGCCATTATTTCAATCCATCCTTTAAAAGTTGCCTAGTAGGAAAAAAAAAGTCGATTTAGTTATGCAACAGAAGAATCTTTGTTTTTTTGCAATTTTAATGTTATTGTATGATTTCAATTTTATAGAAAAGATTTTGGATCATTTATCACTAATCTAAAATGCAAGTGTCTTCAAAATTAAAGGCTACAATTGGAAGATCGAAAAGGAAAGGATTATCTCCAATAAAGAATTCAGACACTTGTAGTTTGTAAATATTAGCTTTTTTCACTAATTAGAAAATCTAGTTTAGTATTAATATATTCTTGAGATGAAATGTATCTCATCTATTTAGATAAAAATCTAAGAAGCAAAGCCCTTTTTTTAGAGTTTTAGAAGCTCAGAAATGATGCCGGCCGTAGATTATTAGGATTCTCAGCTAGAAATCTTGAAAGAAGCATATTCTTATTGTAAATATTCTATTTAGCGTTCTAATTTTTCGAACTATTAATGAATTAAGTACGGAGTTCCTAATACTAATTCATTGTATAGAAAGTTTCATACTTTCACAATAAATTCAACTTATAAACATTTTTATTTGTACGAAATTTTAACTTGAACTTAAAAATTTAATATTAAAGATATAGATGAGAAGGAAAACTATTCATAAGGATGTGAATGCAAGAGGTTTGAAAGTATAAAACATGACTCGAAATAAACATCTCATAATCCGTAAGAATTAAACTTTTTCATTGATTTCAAAAAATTAAGTCATCTAATTTCCGTAATAATCTCCAAATACTAACCGAATCATTTTCCTTTTTCTAAAACAACATACAATTCTCTACTAATTCAAATTAAGTTTCGAATAATAAATTTTTCTCAATGTTCTAAGTGTTAATAGTACGAATAATTTCAGAATGTACTATGAGGATTAAAAATTTCTAAGAATTTTAAAAAGAACCATGCCGAGTTTGATAACCTATCCAAAAATTTAAAAAAACCAAACACATCATGTTGTAGAGCAAGTCGAGGCGCATCGAATGGTATATCACAAATCTTGTTTTCATAAGATTTTGAGGGAATCTGACTGAATTTATGATTCAAAGACTCACCAATAGTCACCATCCGTAGAAAACGATGATGAATCATCGAAAAGTTGCATTTTTTCCTATCAAAAATAGGACGATCGAAGATGCTGAGTAACAAGGCCTACATAATCGTCAAGGCTAGGGATGTACCGAGACCGAACCTCTCGGCCGAGAGTCCCGGTCTCGGTCTCAGTTAGCCTTAGTCTCGGTGTTAATGAATATTGGTCTCCAGTACGATTAACTTCTTACTCGTTCTTTATCCTAGGTAAGCATTGTATTCACTCTCGGTCGAAATTATTATTTTTTCAGTTTTTCGTCCGAGAGTCTCGGTCTCGGTACATCCCTAGTCAAGGCTTTCACTCGATGGTCGCCTATCAGTAAATTCAGTTTGGTTCTTTCAAAATCTTATGAAAACAAGATTTGTTATATATCATTCGACGCGTCTCAACTTGCTCTACAACATGGCATGTTTCTTTTTTAATTTTGAATAGATCACCAAATCCGACATGATTCTTTTTAAAATTCTTAGAACTTTTTTGATTTGTTCTATGTAGTTTTAAATTTTCTTAGATGAATGATTAAAAATATTGTATTTTTATTTTTTAAAATCGAAAATAAAAAAAAAACCTAAACTTACAACTTGAAATAAAGCTAAATAACCATTAACAACATTATCAAAATTGACTCTTGAATTTTCCCATGTAAAATTTTTATTTAAACAATCAATTTTATTAGTTATATTTTCTGATATATTAACTCGATCATGTGTATCATGATAAACACATTTATAAAATTTTCCACCAAATAATTGTACACCAATAATTGAAAAAATAAGCCAAAATACAAGACAAACAAGTAAAACATTAAATATGGACGGAATTGCACCAATTAATGCATTAACAACAACCTAAATTTAAAAAAATTAAAATTAAATAAAATTTTCTATTTTCATACTCGAATTCCTTCAAATCTTGATAATGCTTTTAATGGTCTTAATGCTCGTAATGTTCTCATTGATTTAAATGCTGGTATATCTGCAACACCAAGCCAATCAAGTAAACTTCCAAGAACACTAACAACAACAATAAGAAAATCAAGCCAATTCCAACCATTTGTAAAATAATTTTTTATTCCATATGCAAACCATTTTAAAACTAATTCAGCTGTAAATATAATTGTAAATAATTGATCAAATGAATGTAAAATTGAATAAAATTTTGGTTGTTGTCGTGTATTTATATCTTCTAATGCCTTTAAAAAAAAAGAACAAATTTTATAATCATTTTTCTCTCATATGAATATAATTCTTTTTTTTTTTTTTTTTTTGAAACATACTAAAGTTGTACTACTAGCTAAAATACTAGCAATAATAAGCCATTCAAAAAAACGATGTTCAACAAGACGATGAGCTTTACTACGAAGATATGTCCATTGTTGTTGAATTGTTTTTGGAATAAGATATTTAAAACGATCAAAATATTTTGATATTATTCTTGGACAACAATCTGGTGGCATCTGAAGAATTCGACCATAGGAAAGTATTGTTGAATTTGTAGGATTATTATTATCATTATTCAATGATTTCATTTCAATATCTTCGATTGGTTCTATTGCTTCATTAGTTAATATTAATAAACCATTAGATTTATTTTTTTTATTATCAATATCAATTGATGTTGAAAATGAAGTATTAGTAATTAAATCATTTGTACCAGAAAGAGACTAAAAATAAATAATATATAATAAGAAGATCAAAACAAAAAAAAACATAGGAAAATTATAAACAAACTTGATTAAGATATATTGTTTCATTAGTTGTACTTTCAATAATTTTTCGTTTTCTTTTATAACATAAACGAAATATTAAACGAAATATAAAACGAATACATCGTTGTATACGATCAATTGCTTCACCTATTTTATTATCATCTTCTTCTTTTTCACGTTCAGATAAAACATTTGAACCAAATGATGCAAGTAAAAGAGCCAAAAATAAATTTAATACCTTAATATAAACATAATTTAATTTTTCAATTAAAATATTCCTTTAGATTAGATTATTTGACAAATAGACCCAGAGATGTATCGAGACCGAGGATCTCGGTGCGGGTAGTCTCGGTCGAAAAACTGAAAAAATAATAATTTCGACCGAAAGTGAATACAATGCTTACCTAGGATAAAGAACGAATCAGAAGTTAATTGTACTCGAGACCAATAGTCATTAACACCGAGACCAAGGCAAACTGAGACCGAGACTGCCCGAGACCGAGACCAAGGCAAACTGAGACCGAGAC